ATTCCAGTAATTTTGACATAATGAAAACCAAGTGTTAACTGCAGTTGATCCGGATTAAGTCCGGAGTTAATCCGGATCAACGCTGCTGTCTGTTTAAGCTTTAAGATAAAGTTTTAAGATCATAAAGCATCTGAAATCTTATTTATTTTTATGAATTTATTTGTACAGCTAGGATGTGTAACTATATTAATCAATAAATACATTCCACTCTGAGTTTATTTACGTGCAATAATGGCAATGGAATTAATGTCACTGATATTAATACACAATTGAAAAGTGAACTAATGTCAATGGCATTAAAACACAGGCCATATTTTCGATGACATAAACACACTTTCATTTTGTGAATTTAGGTTTAAATAAAAAAAATTATTTTGGTATCATTATATATTTCACTTTAAGAGGGTGAATCAATTCCAAAGTGACTTAATGTCAATTGGCATTATTTCACTTTTGTCCTCTGTATTAATGTCATTGACATTATTGCACGTCACCACATTTATCGAAGTTGAATTATTCCCTTTTCTTGTATATTTTTAATTAAATCGATGCAATATTTCGTTGCATCAGATCGAAAAAACGTCGATGTATTTTATTGACTTGCATCCCATTCGAATATCGAATTTACCCATCCCGAGCAACAAGTTCAGGTGAAGATTAAAAGACTCCGCTTTAAATACTTTGCTGCTCTTACGTACACATTTTAAGTGCAATAATAACAACACCGGCACAAAGAAAAGGGGTGTGTGCTTTTAACCAGACCCACATACCAACATGTATGAATCCGAATCTGAGGTCTGTTTGAGTCGTACACCCTTAAAATTTCGAGTAAACTGCAAAAAAATTGGAAAAAAATTCGACATTCGCCATTTCTTATGGAGTAGAATCAACATGTTTAGAGAATTTGTTTTTGTATATTTTTGTTTAATGTTTTTTATTAATCACTACTTTCAAAAGTACCTAGAATTTACATTCTTATTTGTGATGTATGCGTTCCTCAATCTAATGGTTTTTTTTAAATACAGTTTCAAATATGTAGTTTTTTTAGAATTTGGGTGTAATAATAAACTATCTTTTACCCGCGATTTTCACCCCACGTTTTTATACAAATATTAAAAGTAATTTAAAGATGTTATATTTTATTTATGAGTCCATTTTGTTGTAGCTGTATATTTTTAAGCGATTTTAGGCCGTTTAAAACTATGAAATTATAAAATCTCGTCTGCAAGCTTTGTATACAAAAGATATCAATCCTTCTAAATTTACCTTAAAATGGTTCCAGAGATATGCCGCGTGAACGCGTAACTTTCAGGCAGGTGCCACGGCGGGTTTTTAATAATTTCAACTCAAACTCAGTAACCTGGCTTTGATAAAATACCACTTCTCAGTACTGTAGCTAAATGCATCCACAGGAATGCATCATGCGATTTTAGATTATATGGTGGATGCCGGCTCTCCCATTTACATTAACTGAATTTTTTTTTTTTGTCAGTACGGTACTGATAAAATAAATCTCCATAACAAATTTAAAATACTTCCACAGATTTTCTATCCTTCCAGAGATGTGTATTATGAAAGTTTAAGCAATGGATACATTTTACATACATAACGCCATACTATGTTCCAGTATTCTTCCATAAACACTTCCAGGGATATGTGGAAAGAAGCAGTAAATTTTTACCCTAATTTTCTTCCATGAGTATGGAATAGATTTTATATATGCCAACGCCAAGTCCCAGAACTCTGTCACAAACACCTCTAGAGATATACAGTATAAAATAGTACATTTGCACGGGAGGTACTTTCTAATCTAGGAGCTCCTTTTCTAACCTAGATTCAGAACTATCTGTGTGCCAAATTCCTTGCAAATCCGTTCAATTGCTTCCGCGTGATAGAGCCCCAAACATCCAAACATACAAACTTTCACATTTATAATATTAGTAGGATTAGTAGGATAGGATGGCAGTCCTCTTCACCCTCTTCTCTTTTAGCTCGAATCTTTTCCCCTCTACAATCTTTCTATAGAGATCCCAGTTTGTATTTCTTGGGTTCTTCAGGGTCTTTATTTTGGGATTTGGGGAGAATGAAATATTAAATTCGAAGTATTTGTGATCAGAGAATGATGGTGTACTTAACACCTTCCAATTATCAATTATTTACTCGTATCATTTTATTTGTAAAAAGCGTTATATCTAGAACGTTCTTCGAGGTGGGTCCAACATATGTTGGCTCTAGACATGGGTGATAGCGTAATTTCTATGGCGCTAGCTCAATAACGCCGGCGCTACTTGTAATGTCAGCGCACTAACTCAGCGCAATAGCGCAGTGTACTGATTTGAACACGGCGCCATCTGAGTGTCACCACAATACCCATCGTCATGCAGTGTCATACAAAACACAGTGATGTCATGTCTATTATTTCTTTAATCTTCGCAACGCTGAGCAACGCTTGTAACGCCAACCGAATTTAGCTGCGAATTTAGGAATGTAGTAAATGCCACGATATTCTCATCTTTCTTGAGTTAAGCTTTAAATTTGCCAATATACATAAGTTTCTGGCGTTATCACCACTCAAAAGCAAAAACAAAGAATTAAGGCGAATTGTGTGTTTGTCTCATGTGTTTATTGGCATTAATGACGCTAGCGCTATTCCTATATTGGTGCTGGCGCTCCAATTTCGGCTAAGGTGTTAACGCAAATGCGCCGCGCAGCGCAGTGTTACACATGCCTAGTAGGCTCAATACCTCGGTTTGCTACCTCTAGTCTACTTTGAATAACGAAATTGAGTACAACTCCCCAAAACATTGTGATGCGAATTTGCGTTGGATTCTACCACCAGCCCTTGCCTCTCTTTGTCTGATTCCACCAACCTCTGGAGCTCGGTCGGGGGTGCACCTTCTTCGTGGAGTGGTTCCTTCTTTGCATTCTTAAGTGCCACTACGGTTAAATCATCGGTGGAAAGCTTAGTGTTAATATAAGAGTTTATACTTGTTTTAACCAGTACCGCCGCACAGTGGCTTAGCTCCATATATAGTATGGAGAAAATTAGGAGTAGACTTAGGGCTTTAATTTTTCGTTTGTAACCTCTAAGGACATAAATCAGAACAAAAAAAAAAGGGAAATGGGTGTGATCGGTTTATTATAAAGCAGAAAGTATCAGTTTATGGAGAATTTTATTAGCTTTTATTTGAAGTATCTCATTTTATGATTGTTAAATTGGTACGTATATCCACGTGATTAAGTGGAACCACTTTTTGTTTTAAGCCGAATAACATTAAATTGCAAACATCTCGAAAACGTATCCGTAGAAAAAAAATTAACTCGATTTTTGGAATCACCGAGCAGTTCTACATAAAAATTGGATAGTGGCATCCATTGAAAATTTTTGCTGTAAACCGGTGTTTTTAGCAATTTTGTTTTTGCTGACAGTGTCTTCCATACAAAATGAGTTGCCGAACATTGCTTGTATCGAAAACGTATCCATAGCCAAAAAATTAACTCGATTTTTGGAATCACCGAGAAATTCTATACAGAAATTGGATAGTGGTTTCTGGAGAACAACAACCAAACTAAAATTTGTGATCCAGTGAAATCAACGCGAAACACCATACAAACACAAACTCCGAGTTCAGCCAGGTCGGTTAAAAATTACGCGATCGGAAGGGTAGTGTTGGTAAGAAAATTTTATGGAAAAATTTTGTTTTCGTATATACATGATTTATATTTTAAATAAGGATATATAATATGCAAATACCTCGCGTTAATTACTTATTTCTTTTGGTTTTTGTGACTAAATCCCGTTAAACTAATCAGTTTCTTGCCAAAAAGGAAGTTTTACCCGAGTTGAGCGTTCTTTTGTCGCTCGTTTACAAAAATATGCAGCTATTTTACATAGTTTGAAGTACCTACAAAATACCGTCGGTTTTGTGAAAATTTATTTTGTATGGAAGAAAATAATAACACCGTTGACAAAAAACAAAAATCAACGCTAATGCTTAGACTATTGAAAAATGTAGCCGAGGTCTTTGTGACCAGATGATATTAATGCTTTTAAAGGCCATTGAAAATATACATATGTATTCTGTAGACGTCTACTATATTTGCAAAGAAGAATATTGAATATATGTTTAAAAATTTATTAAATGGCAACGTAAAATAGCACTCGCGTGGCTTCGTCTTGGATTGCTACCACATTATTACCTGGCCGTAAAGCAGCACTTT